ACCCCTATAAACCCTAAACCCCAAAGAGCTCGCGCTGAGACTCTCACAGACAGCGAAGGCGTCGGCCCTCTCATCCTTGTCCAAGCTCCCAGAGGCGCCTCGTCGGTAGCAAGAAAACCCTGCCATTCCCGAGAAAAGTTAGCATTTAGGGTTTATAGGGCTTGATGGGGTAGGGGTTTAGTATGTATGTACTGCCCGAAAAACCTCTAAACCCTAAACCCTACCAAGACCCGTAAACCTAAACCCTAAACCCTAAACCCTAAACCCTCAACCCTAAACCCTAAACCCTAAACCCTCAACCCTAAACCCTAAACCCTCAACCCTAAACCCTAAACCCGTAACCCTAAACCCGACCAGCCTCTCTCTCCTCAGCAGACCACAAAGGCTCCAAAAGGCGCTGCTCCGAAGAAGTCAGGATGTTGCCCACGCTTCAAGGTCTCGGCCTGTTTAGGGTTTAGGGTTTAGGGTCGCTATTAGGGTTTAGGGTTTAGGGCTTAGGGTTTAGGGTTTAGGGTTTGGGGTTTAGGGTTTAGGGTCGCTATGTGAGGAGGGTTCATATAAGAGTTTACAAGGGAAGGGTTCTAGAAGCGCTCTTAAAAGGTCTTGATGATTCCATAAGAAGGCTTGTGTATAAGGGTTCTACAAGGGTTTTGTACATGGCTCTTATAGGGTTTAGGGTTATTATGGGTTTCGCTTTCGGGGTAAGGGGCGTGGGGGTTGGTGTTTGGGGTCTGGAGAGTGCTCACAACAGGATTTGGGGTGGCCACTGTGTGGAGTGGGTTTGGCTTGCCCTAAACCCTAAACCCTAAACCCTGTTTCAAGCCAGTTTCGTCCTCGACAAACCAAACACATCAGCCGCAAGGCACAGTAACTTGGGTGCCACAGGCCTCGGACACGAATTTCCTAGTACTCATTCGGACCAAACCTGCAACTGCTTTAAGTACGTTATAGAAGGCTTCCGTACTCTGATCTCTGATTATATAAGTCCTCAAAACGGTAGGCGAGTTGAGCGCAGAGTACGGCGACCTGCCCTCCGAGTCCACGCAGGGAGAGCTGACGGACCCAAACCCGAACCCAGAGGCTCCAAATAGCTCGAAGTAAGTACTATTGGGTTTTGGGTTTCGGGTCGCGAACCCTAACCCTACACCCCTAAACCCTAAACCCTATAGCAAAGCCCGAAACCCTAAACCCCACACCCCTAAACCAAAACCTAGGCTTAATGAACCCAGGAGTAGCTGCCCCAAAGCAAGCCTTCTCTCCTCCACAAACGCCTCAGCAGGTCACCAAGAGGGCGAGGGGCGATGGCGTTCACGTGGCGTCTCCTTGCTTTAGGGTAGGGTTTCGAGGGAAGTTGTTGAGTTTAGGGCTTAGGGGTTTAGGGTTTTTTTGTTTAGGGCCTGGGCTTCAACTCAATAGTGAAGCCCTGAATCATGTCCTTTCCTTGTAGTCCTTGAGGTTTGAGAGGTCAGGGATTCGCGACCGTGAGGTTCTAATTTCATTATACAGGATCCTTAACAGTTCCAGTTCGAACAGGGCTTCGGAGTACGTTATACGACTGTAGTTATGATAAGGAACCCGAGTGGACAGCATTACACACTACTCTGGCCGGCAATGTTAACCCCTTATAGAACCCTTTAAAGGAACCCTATTATGCCCTACTGGCAAGGGGCCATAAAAAGAACCCCTCCTGCACTGTTCGATCTTAGGATTTCAACTCTAAATGCTTCTGAGGCTGCAGAGCAGTCGGGATCTGTCGAAGTAGACGGCATTCAGTGTTTCGACTTTCGCAAACATTCCTAAGTACCTATATAAGGGGGATACTTGCCCACACCACAATACTAGCTCCAACTATAGAAACCCTGTAGGTACGTAGGACCCTTTGGGCTTAGGCTTCAGTTTCAATACGGAACCACATGATAAAGAATGAAAGCGTTAAAGTGCACTGCTGGGCCACCGCCAAGCCCTAGACCTTAACCTGGCATTCTAATGGTTAAGGCAACTATTTCTTACTCCGCCAATCCAAGGCTCGTTCTCGTGAGATCTCGGATCATTTGAGGCCCCGGATATCGTGGACGACGATGTGGTCGATGTTAGCCACATCACGGCCAACTGACTTGGAATGATCCTTCCTGGGTATCAAGCGCGAAAGCCATCATCAGCACATGGCAGACAATGCTACGAATGAGCACAAGAGAAGAACTCATCAGCACAGAGATCATCTCACTGCTTGTATCTAAAGTTAGAACATACCCCACCGGAATAGGTCGCTTTACGGGATACTTACCCAAACCATACTAGTATTTCCGCGCTACAGAGACCCTACTGACCCTTTGGGAGGTACTTGAATGAAGCTCAAAAGTTTCTTGAGTTCGGTACTTATAGATTGGATAACTAAGACAGTTTTAAGGCGTATTGACCGAATTGACGACCGCGGTGTCGAACTTTGGGTGTTTAGGATTTGGGCCATGCAGTAGGGTTCAGTGTTCCGTTTCCATGGTATCGAACTCGAGGCTGTTTATTCTCAGAGGGTCCATGTACCCAAATAGTATATACTTTGGCCCCAAAGTACCTATATAGGGACTACTTTAGGGCCAAAGTATATCCTATTTGGGCACATGGACCCTTAGGGTTCGTCTGTAGGGTAGCTACCTGGGAGGATCAAGAGACTGGGTTTGGGCTTTGACCTTTGCGCTTGCGCCGGCGTTTAGCGCTGAGGGTGTGGGGTTCCAGCACTCCAACCCTGGCATGGGACTTGGCATTTGGTGTTACGGATGGATGGTAGCTTCGGGCTAGTGCCTGAGTCTAAAGTGCATAGCATGCAGAACTCCTTCCTACGTAACTGCAACACCCCCCCCCCCNNCCCCCCCCCCCCCCCCCCCAGTCTCTAAGCCCTTTCTCTATGTATTGATTTCGCTACAACCCCGAAAAGACGGTATACCGATTGCCTGCAGCACGCTCCAAGTCCCCCAAACACCATCGATAGAATATATATATATATATANNATATATATACACATACATACACATTGCATACGTACGTATGTATGTAGATCTCTGTGCGCGTAAGATTGCATCGTTAAGTGCGCCTCGTATGACACAACTAAGAGACTAAGGGTGGCCTTCGAACATCTTCCCAGTGGCTCGTAGCGCCAGCGGAACACATGGGTCTCCAAGTCTGAGCCAGAGAATGTGAACTTCACCTGCACTCCGGGGGGGGGGGGGGGGGGCGGGGGCCACAGACAGAGTCCATTAGGGTTTCCTTTGAAGAAAGGTTTAGGGTTCAGGACTCGCGGTTTTGAACTGAGGGTTTGTTGCGAGTCCGTTAGAGGCCTATGTGTGCTAAGGATATTTCAAGGCTTGCGGCTCAGACAGCATAGTGCTCAGGGAATCGTACTCGAACAGACTCGCATGAGGCTGCAAAGACAAACAGAGAAGTACGGTAAGGCCCTGCTTTAACCCCAAATGACCTAACTGCTCAAGGCTTTATAGAAACCATGATAAGGAGCGCTAACAGGAAGGTTTTACAGTGAACAGGTCGGGCCATATCAACTCTCGGAATGGGGGGACGTTAGAAGGTTCGATGGTGATTCCTTCATGTTCGCGTTCCCTTTTCAGGGGTCCTTCAAACCAGGGACCTCCTAATCCATGGCTTAGATGACGGTCGCGAGTCACTGAGTTTCAAAGATGCCCCGCCCTTGGGTATTGCTACAGTCACGTTGTTTCTGTATCTTGCGTGCAGGCATGCTGAACATCCTGCTACATATCCTCCAAGCAGAGTATGGTATAACATGGTACAACCATGTACCCGTCATACACATGTAAGCCATGAAGAAACCCAAGTGCTGTAAGAAAGCTATTACGAAGTAAGAACCAATCAGAATCTTGAATTCCGCATCAGCACCTCAAACGACTCCACTCTGTAGGCTCTATATAGGTAGTACACCAGACGAGATCTGATGCTACCTGCGTCCACGGAATCTTTCCAGACACAGGGAAGCCGCTGCTGTGCTGCTCGATGTCCTGATAGGGTGCAGGGATGTGCGGAGGTTGCATTAACCACTGAGAAATCCTACCTTTTTTAAACATCAGATCTGAGGAAACGATCGTAAGAAAGCCGTG